GGGGGGGGGGGGGGGGGGGGGGGGCAATATTTACTAGGAAGGCACAAACTTATGAAATAACTATTTGTATTATAAGTTCCGTTTACCTCTACACTTGTACAAGCCATACATTCGACACCAGAAATTTGGCATTTATTTGTGAATCTGAAATTTCAGGTGAAACTCTGTGATAAGATGTCGAATTGGCTCAGTGATTCGGGATGGGCCAAAATGCGTGACTGTGTTCTGCGAGAGGGGCATTTACCGAACGATGTTGCCAGCGATCCGGATTTGATGCGCCTACTCAGTGATTGCTACATATGCTTCTATACGGATGAGGAGAACAGAAACGAAGGTCTCAGTCTAACACGTTTTTTCACGTGAGCGAAAAAATGGTACTTGCAGGTTTGAAACTGAGTGCAAAATCTCGATTTTACCGATCCTCGGGAAAAAAATTTCAACTAATTTTAGTTTAATCTAAGACAGACGGGAGCTTATTTTGATATAAAATTTATGCTGGAACTATCGACAACCTTGCCAGTGGATGTTTATTTTTCAAAGGAAATAACTTGAGAAATGAGGCTTTGATCTTTGAGTTTTGTTCACTCATCTTTCGTTACTCAAAAATGTTGTTGCGGTTCATCGCTTTAGGAAAAATTCATCATTTTCATGTTGATTTTGATGTATTTTCGGTGGCTGTACAACTTCTGGTGAATTTCGCATCACCTTAGGCTTCGGTCTCCTGTGGCCAGCTTTCATGCATCTCTGGTTTTTCAGCGCAAATTCCTGCAGCTGCTCACTTATCCAGTGTGCCCATAGGCGGATTCAGGGCGGCTTCCTGGGGTGGAAGTGAAGGGGGACGGGTGTGCGGCTTCTGACCTAGCGACAACGGGAGGGAACGAGTGAGGAGAAAAATGACTGCGGAGGGGGAGTGACGGGGAGGTGCGGAAGAGAGTTTTCTTCAGTTTTAGCTTTAAACCCGGACTTTTGTAGCACTGGTGCCTGTGCCGTTAGGGTCACCTTCTCCTTCCCCTCCCTCTTTTCCCCTCTGCCCCTGGATCTGCTTATGAATGCGCCCGGTGTGTAGTGATTTCCCTCCAAAACAACATATGAACGCTCTAACAAGGCTGAGCGCGTGGTGCCCCTTTTCGATACGTGAATGCACACACTGAGACGTGTAAAAAATATCGCAGTTGTGTTTCATTAAAATTCGGTATTAAATTCCTGGACATTTTCCGGCCTGTACTGATTTCCGGTTTCATGCGGTTGCTTTATTGAAAGGTTATATACTTTAGTAGTTTAAAAATTTTTAAAAATTTATAAATTTTCACTAGGCGCTGTAATATTTCCGTTGCCACAACAAAGCAGTGTTCCTTGCGCTTTGAAAAAAAAACTGAATTTTGCACTAATTAGCATATTGTAATTCTTACTACTGTGTAATTTGATATTGACAGTTTGTTTTGTACATAATTTAACATATCTTTACACTATTGACTTGTTGTTGTTGCTGCTGCTGCTGCTACTGCTGCTGCTGCTCATC